AACCAATCAATCAAGATCTTGCCGCAGGAGCAGAACCTTCAAAACTAAGACGGGACAACAAAAAAACAATTACTAAAGGAATGCTTGTGTGGTTATGAAAAGTTATAGAACCAATGTTCTGACATATCACCATAAATAAGTCCACACAAGTCTTAAATATGCCCTCACCTATTAAAAAAAAAGTCTGCTGATCTTTCAAGATTGTACCTCCATGAGCCACGGCTAATTTTACCCAAATCTTGGGTTGAAGATCATCTGACCTCACCTCTAGAAACTCCAACACCCTCAAGGTGTGTTTGGCTCAAGTTTGGGTCAGGGATCACTCTAGGGTAAGTATAGTTTAATCACATACCTCCTACATTCCAGTCTGAATCCTCACCCCACTCGTTGTCGAGCGTTCAACTGGCATGCGTGCGTATGCGTGAGTGTTTGCTAATCACAATTTTCCTCATAACCCCTCTCTCTTTCTACCTGCCGGAACAGGGACAGAGGTTAATTCTGGCTGCAGGGCATTCTGGGCAATTGACTGCTCATCAACCGCCAAATGAACTTTACCAGTCAGTCAAAGACAAGCAGCCAAAATGCTCCTCTGGGTAGATGAGCGACAGCATGTAGACCCAGCCTGCATTAATAACATTACAGCACAGCAGCTCACTTCAACAGACAGGCAGAATATCAACAATCTCTCTCAAATCACGCTTGGCTATATTTGCTTTCGAGAGTTGGGAAGCAAGATTTACTCTAAATGTTTAACAAATGAAAATGTAAAAAAAAAAAAAAAAAAAAACATACTTAAGCTTCTTCAAAATTATTATTATTAAAACATTAACTTTAGTTTGGTAATTTTAGATTGTATTGTGTGTGTGTATATATATATATATATATACAGTATATATATATATATATATTAGGGCTGTCAAATGATTAATCGTGATTAATCACATCCAAAATAAAAGTTTTTTTTACAAAATATATGTGGGTGCACTGTATAATTATTTTATATATATAAATACACACACATGCTTGTATATATTTAAGAAATATTTTCATGTATATACTGTATATAGATTTATATATAATTTATATTATATATAAATATAAATATTTTCTTTATAAATAATATTTTTTTCTTAAATATACATGCATGTGTGTGTATTTATATATATACAAAATAATTATACACAGTGCACCCACATATATTATGTAAAAAAACCTTTTATTTTGGATGTGATTAATCGTGATTAATCATTTGACAGCCCTAATATATATATATATTAGATTCTTCTGATGCCTTATTTCACTTGAAGCAAGACTGAAGCGTTAGCATGAAAGCATGATTTTTTATTTGATTTAAAAAACAAGAAAAGTGATGATGATTAATCATCAAAATAAACCACCATCTTATCGGTTATCCGCCATAGCAAATATAATTATAACACATGACCCCAAATTTCTATATCAGTGCATCCCTAAATCATGCATTTCATTAGCAGTATACAAGAAAGTTTCATGCAAGTTAGGAAAGATTCAGCCTAATATTTCAATTTGAGGTTTCCACATGTCTTGCATGGTTTCTATGTGTGAAAACTCATCTTTCGTGGTCATGTTGCCATGACGCGACTAATCTTTGATTGACGTGTGCACTCTAAACGACCTGACTGACACACACTTGGCCTGCCAATCACATTTCAAATACAATCATTAAAACACCGATCAGACCTGATTCACACTGACTCATCTTAAAGGGAAAGGTGAAGAGCATGTCTTTCTTTGTACGAATGAAGGTAGGAATGATGGCATGGCTAGCAAGAATGATGTCTCAATGTTACCAGCGAGCTGGCGTCAATGGGGCCATATCATAATTCAGAGGTTCTGAGTGCCAAGAAACACAAAAAATCAAGAAAACTATTCTTCATTATATGACCTTTTTATAGTAAATACAGTTGGTAAACATACATAAACAATTTGTGTCTCTCAGTCAAACCTTCCCATCACGACTGCGTCAGATATATTCATGAAATGATGGCCGAGTGAGGCATGTGGTTTGAGCGCACACACGCTACCAACAGCCCCGCAGGGAAAACTCACTGCATGAATTTAGTTTCGCCCAGTGTAAACTCTGCACGGCACATTTGTTTGTGTGCGTGACAATGTATTGGTGCAACATTATCTATCAAAGACCTGTCTGTGCTGTAGGTCTAGATTGGAATGGTAAGATCGAATGGGGAAAATCTCTCATGAAGACAAGTCACTATCTCTTCCTTTCACTGATATTTTTCACATAAATTTTTCCTGAGAAATTCTCAACTGCTAGTTTGCCATGTCCCCTTCATTGTGATGTCATCACACCTGACATAGTGAGAGCTCCAATTAAGAACACATTGTCATAGTATCTCATTTCTAACTATTCATTTAAATAGTGTAATTGTCCGACAAAATTTGTGAAATAAAATACAGTGTTTCTGTCAGCCCAAAAATCATGGGATCAATTCTCAGGGAATGCAATAACTGATAAAACACATACCTTAACTGCAATACTGTAATACTGTTTAGGGTACACTCTAAAAAAAAAATCACTGGGTTGAGCTTTTTGGGTCTTTTTTTGGGAGTTATTTTTTCAGTGTTTGGGTAGATGTAACAACCCAGTGGTTGAGCTATTTATCAAGGGCTTGTTCCATCCTCTTTAGGAGAGAGCAGTTCTCAGTGCCATCGAATTTGTGCATTTCTTCTGTAAAATACAAGTTTGTGTACATTTTATTTTATCTATAAAATCCTTACTGTGCAGTAAATCATGTCATTTTATGTAAAGCAACATACAGGAATGTGAGTCACCTAAATGAGTGTTAAATCGGTCTATTCGCGTGCTTGAAACTTTTGATGCCTTGGGTAAAGATACTAAATCTAAATACTTTGGATGTTAAATATGTCCTCAGTGCTATTCATTGATAGTTTATGGGTAGGTTATGGACTCAGTGGCAGCATATTTCAGCTTATTTCAGTTTGAAACGCAGGACGGCGGTCTAAAGTTACGAGAGCCAGCTCCGTTAAAGGTTTGTTAAATGGGTTTAAATGTAGGCAATAGCCCAATTTGATGGGTAAAATTAGCCCAAGATTGCGTCCTAGATTTACCCAGCCCTTAGGAATCGAACCCTTGACCTTGGCTTTCTAACACCATGTGTTTGAGTTACGAACTATCCTACTATCCTTAAAAGGGTTGTGTCAAAAGATCAGGTGAAAAGATGTTAAGGTATATTACACTGCCTAAAAAAAAATACACACAAATTCTTCAGCGCTGCTACAACACAAACCTACATTTGAGCCCTTCCACAAACTCAAAGTGGTCGGCCCATTAAACAGCCATTGAGGGAAACCACCTTGACTTTTATTGACCCTATAAATCTAGTGAGGAGTGGATGAGAGGTCTCTGCCTTAGACAGCGTTTAAAGACAAAGACTACTGGTCCTTCTGAGACAATAGACTTCCTGCTTAACTATTAACAGCTTCACCAGTGATAACTTAATTAGGGGCCAATGATGGGGCTTCAGTAAGAGCCTGGGCCCTTTCATTTGTGTCCACTTGATGGACAGGCACTCATTGGTTGGAAGTGGATGGAGTGTGTGTGTGTGTGTGCTGAAGACTTAAAAAAAAAAAAAAAAAAAAAAAAATAAAAAGGGACAGAATAAAGACTCATTGTAGCTTATTTGGGAATTTTACTAACAAACAAGTTTCTAAGTTTTAACAGATAATTTCTACTGACAATAGTTACAGTGTTGGGGGTAACGCATTACAGGTAACATGAATAATGTGATGTAATCAGATAAACTAGTAACTAGTAAAGTACGTTTAAATGTACAACTAAATATCTGATTTACTTTTTTAAATAACAAATAACTTTATTATTCACATTTATTGACCGACACCTCTTCTGTACCCATGTTGAGATAAATCTTGAGTAAGTGCAGAGGTGTTGTGTGTGTGCTGTAAAAACATGATTGTTATTGTAGTTTTAGAATAAATGTGGGCATTTACTCATCTAACTTACACAAAAACAGATTAAGTATTCCTCAAAATGAATAAAAAGTCATATGCAAACTCAGAATACTATGCAAACCTGCAATAATCAAATACGTTAGATAATACAAATATACTTGTATTTAATCTGACATTAATAACCAATGACTTTGCTGCTGACTTTTGATGATCCAATTCAACCATACCAATAAGCAAAAATGATATTAGATAAACATCACATTTGTGTTTAATTTTGTTTCTTTCTGTTTTTGCTGTCAAAGTGCCTTTACATTTGCCAAAAAGAGAACTATTGTTTTTTTTTGTATTAAACAAACTAACAAGCAAGCCCAGCCAAGGTGAAAAAAGTTGCAAGTTACATAACATTACTTTCCATAAAAGTAACTAAGTAACAGAATGAGTTACTTTTTAGGGAGTGACGCAATATTGTGTAACATTGTCAGAAAAAAAAAGTTACTTTTAAAAGTAAAGTATTACTTTCGAAACAATTTTTGATCGGACCTGTTTAAGTGCCATATAATTCCCAGTGAAAACAAGTTGCACACATTAAAGAAAGTGTATTTATGAGACTTCAGAAAGAAAATCTCAAAGTCTTTTAAGGTAATTCTTTGAGGTCTAACATCTCTAGTCTAAAATCAATATTCAACCTTTCAAATTGACACTCAATAGCTGAGGAAAATAAACAGGAATTAGTGAAGCAGAGCTAATGTGGACATCGATTCATAATCATGACCTCTTAATATGTGCACTGATTCGAGAGACACGGGGGAAGAAAAATAAAATTAGCAATTAAAAGAAATGATTTCTTAGCACCTAGTAACGTCATACTCTTCCTATTCGCCACGAGAACGAACAAACATTAAGATAAAAAAGCTGCATGAATATATATTTATAATATATATCTAAAATATCATTTTTCAAAGAACCTTTTTAAATGTATCTGGTGTACTGTGACATTATTGTGAACTCACCTCAATTGTGAACTGCTTCCTCTTGAGTTTGAAGGCCAAGTCTTTCGTATCGGGTACTTCACATGACAGACAGTTCAGATGAGGCAACTGACGAACATGCAGGAGACCTGAACAAACACAGAAGACATTAACAGCGAATCATATTACTGTGTAAACGTGCTAGAAACACATACTGTCAGAGATATTCAAAAGTTTGGAGTCAGAAAGATTTTTAAAATATTTTTGAGAGATGTTTCTTTTGCTCACCAAGGCTGCATTTATTTGATTAAAAATACATTTCAATATATTTCAAAATGTAATTTATTGCTGTGATGCAAAGCTGAATTTTCAGCATCATTACTTGCATGATTAAGGATCATGTGTCATCAGTGTCACATGATCCTTCAGAAATCATTCTAATACGCTGATTTGCTGCTTGAGAACACACACACACACACACACACACAAATAGTGTAGAATTTACTTTTTGAAACAAATTTCACTCAGAAATTGCTAAGAAATTGCTTACAAAGTAACTACAAGTGGCACATTGAATTAAATGTGAAATTTTGAAGTAAAATGACTTCTCCAAAAATACTCCAAAAATTACTCCAAAAAATTCAAACTTCGAAAAATAATGTTAATATTATTTGCTTAATTATTCTGATAAATATTTTGTGGAAACCGAGATAAAAATTTTTCAGGATTCTTTGATGAATAGAAAGTTCAAATAATGACATTTATTTGAAATATAAATATTTTGAAAAATCATAAATATCTTTACTGTCACTTTTGATCAAATTATTGCATCCTTGCTGAATAAAATCTTACGCACTGCAAAGATTTGAACGGTAGTGTAACCACTGTAGTGCTTATGGGGATAATTTTTAATAAGCAAAAAACTGAAACTGCACTCAAAATCCATTTGGCAGGACATTTCAACGAACGGGCATGACGTTTCTGACTATATTGCAGAGGCTAATAAACATGTTGTGAAACAAATATTTTTCCCAGGTGTTGTTTTGCCGGTTACCCATTTAAACAGACTCTTGCTTTCATTGTCTGATGAGTTTTACTGTGGGCACATGTAGCTATCAGCTTTCACACTGGCCACTATAGCATTGTATCAACCATTATTTTATTAGCTGCACCAATGGGCAGAAACCAAAACATATGAGAGAAGGACTACAGCGGAGGGAGGAGAGAAATGGGTTGGTGGGAGGGAGAGAAAGCCAGAGAGGTGAGTGGAGGATGGGGGTAAAACAAGGTCAGTCGGCACAGGGGCATGTTGGGAAGAGAGAAAGCTTTTTCGCCCTCTTTAATTCCTCCCTCCATCTTTTTTCCCTCAGTTATGTGGCCAGTAGAAATATGACATTAAAAAGAAGCACTGAAGACCAGGATGAGGGGGATGAGAGGATGGAAAGAGCATGTGTATGTGTATGTGTGTGTGTAAAGGCCCCGCTTGTAAAGGGACCCGTGCGCTAAGTTGATTCCGCTCGAGTTGATTCGCTGTGACAGAACTCCCAACATGCTTTGTGCAGTGGACGCACCACAGAAAAGAAAGAGTGGCCTCATGTACGTCTTTACATTCACTAAGACCTTATGGCACAGCATTATTCATGAAATGAGGTAAAAATCAATAGCAAAAGCTAACAATAACTGTTCGAACACACTAAAAGTAAGGATATGCATTGGGGAGATGTTTGTGAAACCATCTGGAAAGCATTGCATTATATTTTTAAATATCTTATCTGTTTTCAAACATCTTAAAAAAAGGGTTTTTCACATACAATTGAAACAACACTAATATAATTAGTCTTATTTTGTTCACAAATATCGTAAACATCTCAAAAAGAACTAATTCATGAATGTGAAATCATTCGTTTCTAACATCTCTAACAATTATATTTACCACCCATCCAATACGCATTGACATTGTACGTGTGGTATCACAGAATCCATGTATTATCTAATCAAATAACTAAAAACTAAATAACATTTTGACAAAAGTGACTGACCTAAAAAAATTAAATAATGTATTATTTTATATTATTATTATTTTATATTTGTAATATTATATTATTATATATTATTATAAAAAATGATAAAATAACAATAAATATTAAAATAAAGTAACATAATAAATAAAAGTACTAACTCATAAAATTGAAAACATTAGAGTGTAATCTCATAAATATCTGATAAATACCTTGATAAAGAAACTATTGAAACAAAATAATAAAATAAGTAAGTAAATATACATAAACAATCATCTGAGGTCATTAGTGTTTGTAAACCACACCCCCTCTGGCCATTCCATACTTGTAAATGAATGCAAGAAAGAAACAGGGCAGGGGGCGGAAACAAGGAGAGAGAACTGTAAACAAACTGACCTTTACAGAGAGATGGACAAAAAAAAAAAAGATGAACAGATAAAGCAAGCAACATTAAGAGATGGCGAGAGTGTACGATGAAAACAAGGGAGGATATAAAGAGGCACAATGAGAGGAAAAAGGACAGAATGGAAAGAGCGTGAGCCCAAAAGATCTTCCTCATCTGCAGTGTGGCCACAGAGAGGTTTTAGCCAGTATGAAAATATTGATTCTGCAACTCTGCGGCCCCTGAGGGCTGTGCTGGGTGCTTGTGATGGGGCGGTGGGGGCTCTCTCTCTCTCTTTCTCTCTCTCTGTGTGTGTGTGTGTGTGTGTGTTTTCCGTGGCAGCTGAATCTCCCCCTGGCCTGTCTGCCAAGGAGCACGTCTGATTGAACACGGCCACACTAACAGGAGCTGACAGCTAGAGAGAGGTCCACCCTGCCTGCCCCTTTCTACTAATGCACTTTACTGAGCGAATGTGTGTGTGTGTGTGTATGTGTGTGTGTGTGTGTGTGTGTTTGTGAGAGCCAGAAAGATAGGATGATGCAAAAGGCATGAATAAGACGAGGGACCAATGAAACATCTTTTGAAAATAGATTTTCTGAAGAAATGCGAGGGGTGTCCGTCATGATTCTAGACTGGTGTGGATGGTTGCCAGGGTGTTGCTATGCAGTAGCTGGGGTGTTCTGTGCAGTGTTATTTAAGTATTATTTATATACCACTATAGTATTTATTAATGTTCGGAATTCGCTTTTATTTTTCTATATATTCAGTTTTCGTGTTAGATTAAGTTTTAGTAATTTTGCTTTGTGCTTTTGTCCTTTAGTAGTTTTTTTAAATATTTTTTTTTATTTAACTTTATTTTAGTTTTAGTAGTACTTAAGCTTTTTTTTTTTTTTTTTTTTTTTTTTTTACATTTCTTTATTATATAATGCATATTGTTTTATTTAACAATAACAACACTGATTCGGAGTCACCCTCATGTCATCGATAAACTATTATTGTTTTTATTATTATTTGAATTTTATTTTATGTTTATTATTTATGTTTTCACTTTCATTTCAGTTTAAGTAATTGTTGTGTTTTTGTAAGTTTTAATATGTCTATATAGCATTTATAAATTGTTATTTATTCATTTTAGTTTATTTAATTTTAGTTATTATTTTAGTACTTCAACTTAACCTAAACAGAAATGAGAAATAAAATTGCTGAAATAAAATAAGTTTAACAAATATATTTTTTAATGGCTTTAGTTTTAATTAACAATAATAACCCCAGTGCTTGTAACATTCTGGTCTCTAGATACGTTGATTTTTGGTCTCTATAGTCTCTAGTTATGTCCATCAGTTTTATCATTCGCAATAAAAAAATCTAAATCCCATTGTTTAAATTAGGTATCAATCGGTGCAGAAGGAGTTACAAGCCAAGATTTAATAGGCTATGGGGGTTTTCTGTCAGTGTATTTGAACTCTTGTATGCGTGTTTCTTCTCACCATGATAGTCTTTGTAAAGTGGGTTGGTCTCCTTCTCTGAGCCTCTGAATGACTCCAGAGCGATGGCTGTGTCACTCAGTCTGATTATTCGTCCCATTACAGCTCTGTTCTGAGAGTGTGAGACAGAAAGAGAGAGTGGGAATAGAAGAGAAATACAGGAAATAAATGAGAAGTCCAATTAAAAGTGTACAAACAAATGTAGAAACATTCTAGAGCGAAGCTGAGAGCATCTCTTGCTAATTAAACCCATCCTAACAAGCAGGGGTTTCACTCCCTTTACTCTGAGAACTGAATTAGGTCATCATTATCTCTCGGAAAAATGGAGCAGGGTATTCCGGAGGCGGAAACCATGATCTTACAACAAAGCCTGAGCTTACAGATCTAAAACCACCTCAGTCAGCAGTGATTTAAAAAAAATAATATCCAATTTTACCAACACCATTCTCTATGATGATTGTTCACATTTGAGGTAAACATTGTTTCCATAAAATACATACAATAAAAAATTGGGGGTTCAGTAAGATTTTTTTTGGAAAGAAATGAACGCTGTTATTCAGCAAGGATGCATTAAATTGACATAACAATGTTACAAAAGATTTCTATTTCAAATAAATGCTGTTCTCTTGAACTTTCAATTCATCAAAGAATCCTAAAAAGAAATGTATCATGGTTTCCAGAAAAATATTAAGCAGCACAACTGTTTTCAACATTGATAATAATCAGAAATGTTTCTTGAGCAGCAAATCATCATATTAGATTTCTGAAGGATCATGTGACACTGAAGACTGGAGTAATGATGCTGAAAATTCAAATAGAAAATATTCATTTTACATTGTATTAATATTTCTGAATGTGTCACCAAATAAATGCAGCCTAAGTGAGCAAACTTTTGAATGGTAGTGTATGTGCTTATATCAACCGAATTTTAAAAATGTATGCAGTTTATATAATTACTGATAATAAGCAGTGTAGCTAGTATGCTTGATCACTGTACTGATAATACTTAGGATAACCACCTAGAAACCTTCCAGAACTTAGGATTGACATGGCAACAGCCAGGCAACCTCCCAGAACACCCTATCAATTTTGAATGGGTATACAATTCAATACACCATTCAATGCATCCAATTATGTTTTAACATATCAGCATTAATCATGGCATCCAAACCGGTATTATAAGGTTATCTTTGGTAAGGATATCAGCTGTACTATATAATGCCACCACTGTGAAATGCTGCCTTTGGTTGCGTCGTGTGACATTAAATCCATCAGATAAGAGCAGAACATACGTTTGGTGCTCAAACACATTGAGTGCTCTGATTCCCTCAAACACATGCTCTCCAAATCTGTCTGTCTCTCTTACTCGGATCGCACAACTCATGCAGTGTCGCCATACGGCACAAATCTGGATGAACGCAAGCACGAAGCCACATCAACTCAGAGAAAGATCCAAAGATCCCGTCTGCTTCAGAGCAAAGACTTCTCACCCATTAATGCTTTCATTCCAAAAATATCTGCTGTTAAATGGTGTAAAAATGCCTTTCAGCTCATCGAGGTTTTGTGTCACGCAAGAATTACACAAGTTCACATTTACACTTTGAAATGGACGAGCTCATAATGCATTTCCGATGATGATTTTCATGGGAAACATTTGCAAAACAGATTAAAATGTGGTAAAACATGTTAAAGAGAGATAAATGTATGAGAGAAACGGGCCAGAATGTTTAATAAACATTTAAGGGGCTTGGAAAAATAAGTTATGAAAACCTCTGACCTTGACCTTACTGATATGAAGATCCTGTCATGGGTTAGATTGAACAAACACAAGTCAAAAGCTGCAAAGAGAAAATAAGCCAGTTTAAAGCGTTAAAGAGCGAAAAAAGCACAAATGCAGATCAAATATGAGCAGCAAATCTACTGAGAGCGCCTCCTCCTGGCCAAAAACAAATACAGAGACCATTCAGAAAGGCGGGAGCACTCCAAAGACAGACAGAGATATCAGGCTGTAGTGAAAAATTTATCTCTACGCCACTCCTGAATATTTCATGCGCTCCCTCTCTGTAGCAGCTGACGTGGCCTAATGCAGTTTTCATGCATCCGTGTCCTCTTTTCTTTCCTCCTTTCTCTTTTCATTCCTTCTACGGGAGACTTTGAGAGCATGCGTGTTTGTGTACGCAGGCTTGACCCTTTTTCCCCAAATCTAGCATAAAAAATTTAACCCAAGCAACTGGGTTAGTGACAGTCGCTGCCAACTTAACACCATCACACCAATTCAAGTAAACAATACAGCTAAAAATGCAATGCAACTACACAACAGTTGGGCCAACATTTTGAAGACTGAAGTCCAGGATGGAATAATGATATTAGGACAAACATTGTGTAGTTGAACTGATTAACCTTCTCGAAGCAACTAAAATAAAGATGTTTTTATGGACATGGCAAAAAAAACAAAAAAAACAACAACTTTAATTTAAAAAATTTAAAACTGAGTTGAATATGATGCACGAAAAAAGATGCATATAAACTAAAGTATACATTTAGTAACAAGTGTTTTGAAGTAAATGCAAAAGTATCTATTACAAGTACACAGCAAAAAGATAAATCAAATACAGAAATTATTTCTGCTCGTGTTATGAATGAAGCCCATTATTTTTTAAGATATTTAGGCATTTTGTTCAACTTTGTAATTTTTAAATATCAGCACAGTTCATCACGAGATGACTAATATCACATAGCTAATTTCAAATAGATTTAAACATTAGAAATTAAATCTGAAGAGCATTTTAATGACACAATTAGAATAAATTTCTATATACATTGGTTTTACATAAATTATCATTCAACTTAATGAAGTAGGTATGTTTTCTGAACATTTACACAGTTTTTTGTTCAATGAATGAAGCCCAGTTGCCGCCACAGTTTGAATCTGCTAATTTTTTAGGGGAAATCTGTGCAATTAATAGATTTTATAATGGCAAACAGTGTTAAATATAGACCTTATGTAACCCCGCCCCTTTTCAGTCTTCCGGATTGTATCTCCACAGCATGAAGGTAAGATCTTATGGATTTATGAACTAACCGCTCATTTTTAAATCTTCCTGGTCTGAAGGTTCAGTTCAGCTTCTGTTTATGTTCGCTGATCAATGTTTATATGTGAATAAAAGACTAAATTCAATCTGTTCATCATATAAAGCGATCAAGTCTCATCAGAAAATTCGGACTAAACCGCTCAATTAGTTGTACAATTCCTTTACGAACTTTTTGAAGCGTTAAAGTGGTAGTAGCGTGGCTGTCAATGGAGGGACAGAAAGCTCTAAGATTTCATCAAAAAGAATTGTGGACAGGGTTTGTGTCCCGAAGATAAACGAAAGTCTAACGGGTTTAAAACGACATGAAGGTGAGTCATTTTTGGGTGAACTATCTTTCTTTATTATGGGTGAATAAAGAAACAAACAATGCATTTGTGAATAATGAGTGTTTGCTTTCTGCCCAACTGAACCGATTCCATGCAGGCCTACTAATTGGTTACAGAAAATGTACACATCTAAGATTGACTTGCTATACAAGTCACATCAAAACAAAACAAACTAGTCGTAGCGGTCCAGCTCTTCCTTAAACTCCTCCGTTCTGTCTCCTAGGCTGTCACTCTTTAGACTGAAAGACTGGGTCTCCAGGGTCCTGGACCCAACAGAGGCTGTATCTGTAGGTGTGTGTGTGCTAGAGGACTATGGCTATTTGAGCAGAGATTGATTAAAGATTCAGATGGACTGTGGCTTTAATCTCGTCATAGGAGGCTTTCAATGCCCGGCCCTTTCACGTCGACATTAAAAATACATGGCAGAACTATTCATTACAAGCCACATCAGACGGATTTTAGATGAGGTGCTAACGCAAATAATGGAGGATTAACACAACATCTCTATGAGTTGACCCCGCATTTAGTTAAAGCAAAAATATTTATTCATCATACTGTACACTAGTAATGTTACTGTACATTAAGAAAATCTATTCAAGCTCCACATATGAGCAGATATATTGATACAAAAGCTTCAGAGATTTAAACCGAAGTCCAAAAACAACTTACATGACAACGCTTGAAACTAAAAATAGAATATTGAATCTTAAATTAAACAAAGGCTTAATTACTGTATTGAATATTCAATGGATACGTAGCATTTTAAAATTTAAAGTGTGTATTTTATTAATCAAAAGCAATTGTAATATTATTAATAATAATAATAAATGTAAAATAATAATAATAAAAAATAATATTAACAAAAATAATATATGTGAAGTAATAATAATTATTATTATAAACATTGCTTCAAAAGAAGAAAAAAGGACAAACATTCAAAAGTTTACAATGTAAAATAACCATTTTGTATTTGTATATATTTCAAAATGTAATTTATTCTTGTGATGGTAAAGCTGAATTTACAGCATCATAACTCCAGTCTTCAGTGTCACATAATCCTAATCAGGATTATAAAGGATTATTTGATAAATAGAAAGGATAAGATTTTAAGTTATTATAGGTTTATGTTTTAGTTTAAGATTTCAATTCTCACTATTAACTAGTTGCTTATTAGCATGCATTTAACTAGGATATTGGCTGTTTATTAGTACTTATAAAGCACACATGACCATATTCAACATCCCTTAATCCTACCCAACACAGAAACTTAACTATCTTACTAACTATTAATAAGCAGTAATTAGGATTTTCGTAGTTAATATTGAGAATTGGACCCTAAACTAAAGTGAACATATTTATTAGACAAAGTCTGTTTGTGACTAGTTAAGACCTCACCGCCTCAACATACTGTAGTTACTGAAAGGTCAACATGTTTACATCACATCCGTTCCACAAAACCACTTTCAAACCAATCACAGCGTTTACACCATCACCTCCACCGCAGAAAACCGCTGTGTGCCCCCCAGCCTCCCTAAGAGGGGTTTTAGCACTTTGTCTCCAAACGGACAAAGAACAGCGAGATCTTGTCTTTTGAAGCGCTCTTAGAGCACAGCGGCTGTGGCCTGACTCTCGTTGGCTAATGGAGGCACAAAGAAAAGGGCCTCTCAGGAACCCAAAGACGCTGAAAGAGAGAAGCGCCCAGAAAGACTCGAGACTGACCATTGGCTGGCTGAATGCAAAGTTGAGGGCCTCAGACAAAGAAATGTGGCTTCACGCGCCAATAAAGAAGCTCCTCTGAAGGCCAAACATACATGTACTCAAACAGATACACACACAGGCCCCCTGAACCCCAGCCAAGCGGAACCTCATTCACGCAACGGAGGGGGGTCGACTCTTTGACTCCGGCTCATGGGGCGGTTATGGTGTGCCAGGGTTGACAAACTTATGGTGACCTCAATGCTGGTCCATGTGAATGACAGTCAAGTTCAAAAACAAACAAACAAAAAAAAGTCTAAAAAGACCGTTTCGCAAGATTACTTCTGGAAGTTGATGTCGGAAATGTTCATCTTGCATGTGTCCTGTGTAATTACTCGATTGCAAGTACTGATGAGTTCAAAAGTTTAAAAAGACAGCAAAACAGATATATTTTCTGAGGAAAATGTGAGTGGAGCTTGCCTGCCAAGGGTTGCACAAAGATAGAGGCTGCATCCGAAATCGGATTCTCTCTTGAGTAGGTACTTATTCTGAATAAGTAATTACTTCACAACTGCTAAAAAAAAAGTAGTTCTCTATAGTATGAGTGTGTGCAGTATGAATGTAATCCGGACGACAGCATGTACATTCGCCATGCTGTCATTATCATGTGAACTACCAGCGTCAGCTTCACTGCCATTCATAAATCCTCTCCAGTGGCCTGATGGGATAGGAAAGTGTCCATTGTGTTCCCACTTCAGAATCTCGCCAGAAAAATTAGGTCATCCGCGTACTTTTTGCCTACTCTTTTATTAGTACTGTGTGAATTGAGATATAGTTTTTTGTCACATACTGTTTTTCGCCTACTATATAGTAGGGAATTATGCAATTTCGGACGCAGCCAGAGTGTAGTGAGTAGTCGCTAGGGCATGCGTTCTGGTCATTTTAGCCGACCCTAAAGTCTTTATGATATTCTGGTGCCTTAATATGGTTTATGTCCCTCCTTAAAGTCTAACTGTGGTGAAAAACAAGCTTTTAAATGTTGTTTATATGTCTATGTAATGTTTTTAATATGCTTTAATGCTTTAAGACAAACCATGTGCAAATTCATAAGTCAACACCATTGCTGAGTATGTTCTCCTTAAAACTGCAGTGAACCAAAGACAGTCTCAAAAACAAGGTTTGAAATCTCTGGTGTTTCTGACGTCACAAACTACCTTGTAACCAATCACGTCAAAGTGTGATCGTCAACGAGTGGATCTCTGAGCTGGTGTGAGTGAGTGGAGGCGGGGCTAATTTACATATTCATAGAACCGCGTATACTAAATGAGGCAAGGGTGTAGAGTTATATTCAAGCTATTTTAAGGCATGAAGAATTTTTTTTTCAAGGAAAATATTTTTAAATGTCATTTTGGCGGTCAAAGATTAGTTCTAACGGATAAAATTATCGACTACAGGGGGACTTTACGTGTAAATCTATGGGACATTTTTGCAGGTTTGATTGTGAAAAATGGAGTATCTGTTTGCTTAGTAAAGTAATAGCTTATCTCAAACAAAACAAAACAGACTGTTTTTTCCACATAGATAACGGTTTTGTTTGAGATGAGCAAACACTATATAATTACGTTCCTCCATGCTTCACTGTGGTAGAGATGTATTTATTATTATATTTCTCACCATGCAACTCGTGTTTCATAGTGATTCATCACTCTGCACACAACTTCCCATATTCTGACAAGTACTTCATTCAGCCTTTGATGATTTTTCTGAGACCACAATGGCTTTTTAAGTAGTGCATTTGCTTAAATTGAGCAAATATCCTGACCAATAATTTGTGGTTAAGACAATTAAAAATGTAGTGTTTAGCCATTTTGGGCTTGGTGCCTTGGTCCATTTTTTTTGGCCAGGTGTATAATCATCATCCTAAAGTGAATTAAAAATGTAGTGTTTAGCCATTTTGGGCTTGGTGCCTTGGTCCATTTTTTTTGGCCAGGTGTATAATCATCATCCTAAAGTTCAGAAAAGTGTTTAATATTACCACTTAAAGGGATAGTTCACTTTGAAATACATTTTTGATATGTTTTAGCTTACCTCAAGGGCATCCAAGATGTAGGTGTCCTTTTTTCCGCAGTAGTTTCAATTTTGATATTTTTAGGTCAAACCTTTCTTGTCTGTCAGTCATATAATGCAGGTCTACGGTCACTACCTCAAAGAGCATGCACAGAGAAGTCCAAATTAAACATGATTTAATGACTCGTAAATGTAAGTACACATTGATGGCCTAAGACACGAAACGAGTTGTTTGTGTGAGAAAACGAACAGTATTTATATCGTTTTTACCTCTTGTAACGCACAGACCGAAGCGCCCGCGCCCTCAGATCACTTGGACGTGGCTGTGGTTACAAGAGGTAAAAACGATATAAATACTGTTCGTTTTCTCACACAAACAACTCGTTTCGTGTCTTAGGCCATCAATGTGTACTTACATTTACGAGTCATTAAATCATGTTTAATTTGGACTTCTCTGTGCATGCTCTTTGAGGTGGTGACCGTAGACCTGCATTATATGACTGACAGACAAGAAAGGTTTGACCTAAAAATATCAAAATTGAAACTACTGCGGAAAAAAGGACACCTACATCTTAGATGCCCTTGAGGTAAGCTAAAACATATCAAAAATGTATTTCAAAGTGAACTATCCCTTTAATGGCCTTTTCAACCATCAGTCTTAAGTAGAAACCTGAGTAAAGGATATATATGAACAAACAAACCGAGAAACTATTTGATTAATCATACCTGTATGAGGTGGGAGGGTACAGTCACCATAGCGACCGAGAGTGAAGTGCGTAACAGGCCTCGGAGGGCATAGAGAAAGGTGGAGAGGGCGTGGCAGTTGGCGGGGTTATCCTTACAGCACACATCATCCCCCCACAGCGCAGATCCCAGAGAATGAAGACCCAGACGCAGGACATTCCGAGCCTTAGACTATAGAAGAGGGGAAAAAAGAGAGATGAACATAAAACATTTGAATTTAAAACAACATTGCATTCTCTCTGAGACGGTCAGGATATGTACAATTCATGTGAACAAATCCACATCTGGCTTTTGCAATGAATATTTCATTGAAGCACCGTAGGGAAAACTTTGGTGAACTTAGTGTTCAATAATGCATGAATGAATATCTTACCGCATTTTAATAAGTGCAACTTAATTTACAAAAGAAACAAGGAGAAACCTGAAGTGCATGACACTAATTTACAGTAATATATCAAATTATACTTAATTTTACCTACAGTGTTTACAACTCTTTAACAAGAAATTATGTGGCTAAATAAGACTTACAAGTGAAAAATTTTATGAGCTAGGTGTGCATTTACTGTGCTCAAAATATCAGTGCATGCAACACAGCAAAAACATAATGTTCAAGTTTTAGGTAAGTTTAAAGGATTTAATTCTGTGTATAATACTATATCAGAACCACTTTAATTTTTGCTGTTGTCATGACACTCTGGATTCTTTGTTTTTTTTTCTGTCTGCTGTGCATGAGAATCAACACACAACATGAATTATGTACGGCAAAGATAGCTATTAATGGATAAATTGTTGCAAAAAAAGAAATCATTATGTAAATAAATGAAAGAAAGCAAGAAAAGAAAGACAACCCATTATTACAATTCAGTATACAAATACTGAATACCAACATTGTCAATGTTGGTTAGGTTTTGAATTGACAAAATGTATATCAATTAGATTTTGAGAAACTTATGAGAAACTTTAATCATAAATCTTTTAGTCACCATGAAATCAAAATGAACTTTTTTTATTTATGGAATATTGCACTATTTATTAGAAATCAAAAACCAAGACTAGTTTGCAAGTAGTTTCTTCGAGATTTTCCTATGAGGTTTTATGTGTTTTTTTTTCTTCTATTTATTAGTAAAGTAAGGTCTGAGCTGAGGTAAACATAACTTAACGATACTTGAACACGTAAATTACCCACACCCATATTGAAAAATGTGAATTTTGAAGCAGAAATTTGTATTTTAAAAACCGTATGTTTCTAATAAGTAGATGAGAATGTTTGGTGTGCGAGCATGTAGTTTACGCTGTAGAACAAAACGTCCAAGTCTCATCAAGTTATGTTTACAATAGACCTTATTTTACTCATAAATTGATTACTCCATTATAAAATCCAATAGGAAAATCTTGAGGGAACAAGTAGCGAATTAGTCTTCCAGGTTCTGACGTCAAGCTCTAGCAAAACACAACGATCCAACCATCCAATCAATTCCCGATGGACAAAATCAAGTCCCACCCTACATTTTTTTTTTGTTCCAGAAGCCGTTTCATTGGGATCTACATCAACAGGGAAGAAAACACTATTGCAAACTTCCGTTTCAAGCCGGAAGCATGAAGTTACAAGCATAAAGTTAAATATAGCTGGAACACACAAGACTGAAATTATATACAAAAAGTTTGAATAAAGTTAAGTGTACATTAAGTAGTCAAAGCTGAATTAACTATACAGAAAATAATGGAGGAGAAAGAGAAAGACTTCAATTACGGATTTCCTTAACTATAAACACTATAAAATCTAGTGAATATGCATAAAATGAGCAATTATTTTATATCATTAGTAAGTTTACACTGTTTAAGCGCATTCTGTGCTTCTGTCTTGTATTGATTTTCTAATAAAAGCATGTTAAAAATCACAGGACGACACTTCAATTAGAGACTCTCAACAGGACATGATTAGCTATTGTACAATTTCACATTTATACTCTCTCTATAATGAATGAGATAAAGAGAGAGAAAATGGTGAAAAGCAAACAAAACAGTGTCCAAATAGTATGTCATACATAAATGTGCAATGACTTGTGTAACTAAGTCAGTAGTGGAGTCCTGTCTGTAGTGAAAAGCCTTTTGTTTGTTGGAGTGAGGGTCATGTACCTCTCAAACAACTTGAATCAATGAAACAAACAGTCCAGCCAAGACCACTCAACAGCACGGTCAAACGGAACACGGTGGTCAAAAGTGATTGGATGACATCTTCCAATCAGGACAGTTGCCTGACATGACCACAATGTGGCTGTCAACCTAAGAGCCAAAATGTCTGCTTCCAACAAGTGCCAGGAAATTCTTGGCACGTTTTTCACCAACATCAGCCAAGCTAAGGGGCCATGGGTGAGAGATGTGCCCTCTACAGTGTACAAAGTCTGAGAAATAATGACAGAGAATTGAACCTTATTCACAAACCAAAGAGCCGATTCTGAATCTGCTAAATAAGGATAGAGAGGACAGACCCAAACATCTACAAAACTGGCCTCAGGGAACCATGTATTGGTGAGATACAAATACAAGTCTCGAAAAAGCAGGAAAAACTTAATATTTGCATATTTATGAAGATGTAAAAGGTAGAAGATGGTCACAGAGCATACTTTTAGTTCAGACCTATTAGCTTTGTGGTCTTTAGTAAGGGATTCTATCACTTTTTGGACAAGCTGTGGACTGCAAACACAATAAGTTAGCTACTGTATCAGTCAAATTAACTTTGAACATACAAATAAAAAGAAAGAGAAAAAAATGAATCAAAATACAGGTAATGACACCTAATAAAGCTAAAAATCGTACATTTCTGATCTTGACCTGCGAATCACGGATAGGTGCAAAATAATATTTCCATGATTTTTACAGGCTATAGAAATATTATTTTGATGCAAACTCTGAATCTACTTGCACCGATGCTAAATTTTCAATATATTGTAATCATTATGTTAATAATTACGTACATTTATACGTATATGTATGTACATTTATGAAATACATTACTTGGACACAGTCACCTCTGATAAAAGATCACTCTAAATTGTAATGTAGACACATGCCCTTTCTGTAAAGCTGCTTCGAAGCTATGTATGGTGAAAAGCGCTATACAAATAAATGTGAATTGAAATGAATTTAGCATCCTTTCCTAATTAAAGGGAAAGATAAAAAGTAATGTAAAAATTTAGAAATAGTCTTTAAAAAGACACAATAAAAATGCTTAAAGCTAATTTAAGGTTCTTTATTGGCATTGATGGTTGAAGAACCTTTAACATCCATGGAACCTTTGCATTCCATGTAAGGTTCTTTACAGCGGAAAAAGGGTTCTTAGATCATTAAAATGTGCTTTACAAAAAGAAAAAAAGAGTTTTTTTAAGAACTGATCACTGAAAGTTTCTTTGGGGAACCAAAGATGGTTCTTCTTTAGCATTGCTGCAAAAACTTCCATTTGGAACCTTTATTTTTAAGAGTGTATATAGGACAGAAAAGTTCCCAATGCAAGAATTGTCCTTTTGCTTTGATATATTGTACACATGCCTTCATTCAATGAAACCGTTGTATTGTGAATAATCTGCTTGTATCTTTGAAATAGAGAAAAGGAGGCTAGATATCTTAAACAAACCAGCTGAAAATAGTTGTGGTGTTGAATTATCAGCATTCGTCCACTGACAATAAACGGTGAAGTTAACACCCTCCACGCGTTCCAGCAATCTTAAGTTAAATAAACCTCATTGTTTGACTGTGTTTCCAAAGCTTCTTGAGGGTTGAGCTTGACATTTCAACCGAGAGGGTGTTCCTGACTCACTTGCTTCCTCCTTCCCTTCGGCCACACTCCAGCTTTTCTATCACTCACACTCTTTCCCCCGCTATGTGTGCATGAGAAAGATGATATGCTTCCAACCTATTCTGATGGTAACAAACATAACCGCTATTCTTTACTAACAATAAAGAAAGATAATATTATATAATCAAATAAAATGTCCATTAGCAAATCTAACACAACCTGTACACAATGTTTTATTTTAAGTTTATTTCAAACTTTAAAGTCAATGCAACAATTCTAGAATTGAGTCACCAATCTGACAAACGTTTTAGTCAGCCTCACTGTTGCCCTGTTTGCTCTCATTCTGAGCATTCTTGCCTTTGTGCCCATGTTCTCTCAACCTCATCACATTCCGCGACCTCTGCCAACAGAATGGCACTGTTTGATGATGTAAGCGCTTAATCTGTCGGTTGACTGACGGGGATCGAGGACTTCCAGGGTGAGGAGCCCGAGGTGTCCATCAGTGCCACGGATTCAAAGAAAAGCTATGTGCAAATATCAACAAGAAAGAGCTAGCACAAAACAAGACATCAACTACTAAACAAATTAAGACTGATTAGGAACTTGATTTATTCAGATAAATAAAAAACAGGAATGAGATTGTTTACAAGTCTACATTTCGAGGTGCTCAACAAATGAAAATGACATGAGCTTGATTTGTACGTTTTTATTGGTAAGACTAAAATTTATAAATAAAGAGTAATACACAGAATTTTTAAATGTCTTTATGCAATCTAACTAAACTGTACACAGACAAGATTATATTGTCTTTAACTGAATTAGAGCTACACTTAATTAAGTTCTAAAAAAAAAGAAAAAAGAATTGCGAGATGTAAACTAAATGTGATAAAAATGCCAGATATGTCAGATGTAAACTCAATTACAAGTTTATACCTTGCAATTGCAAGATATAAACTTGCAGTTGCATGAAAGAGAACTTTGAGAGAGTTAAAATTGCGAGATATAAACTCACAATTGCAAAATATGAAATCAGAATTGGGAGAAATAAACTTGCAATTGCAAGAAAAAAAACCCCTCAGAATTGCGAGTTAACACCTCGGAATTGTTAGAAATAAAGTCAGAATAACGTGAGATATGAACTTGCATTTCCGAGACAAAAATGCTAGAATTGAGATAAAAAGTTGCAAATACCTTTATTTTTATGTTCTTATTCCATGGCGGAAACAAGCTTCCATAGTATTTAGAACAACAAGCAATTTCTCTTTTTTGATTAATAGCTTGCTGGGGTGACATAAGCCTAACTCCAATTTGTGTAAATGGGGTGTATCTAAAAAAATCTCTAAAATATAGAATAAAATGGTTTTAAAAGACTCTGTAGTAAATTTGAATGGGATTTGAGAGTCTTTGTATAGGTAACTGGTATACTAACTTCATGTAATAAACGTTTACTTTGTTTACTTCAAAGGCCCCGAAATTCTTCAAGCAAAATCGAAGAACGATCTGGTGTGACGTTATTTCGAAACAAAATTAGGCAAAAACTAAGTTTGTTTTGTGTTCGTTTCGGGAGTTTGAAACCGCTTGCCAAACCGAACTTTCCTGGTAAACACCTGCGAACTACCATTGGTCCGTGGCGATGACATAATAGGTAGCTGCGGCTCGGAGGCTCCGCCTTCTTTGACGTGGAAATCTTCGCCAGTTCATTTCTGTTCAGTCCGTCAAGGTCAGACATCCGCGAGTAAAAACACGAAAACACTGTAGAGCCGTTTTATAGTACAAATTGAAGTTGTAATTACAACTGAAAGAGACGCTGACACTGTTTTTCATGTTTAATACTGAAAAGCTGCTTGCTTTTAAACAATTTATTGTATAAAGTGCTATATTAATAAACGTGACGTGACTTTTCTGGAGTGCTGAATTGCAGAGCTTGAGCAAATATCCACATCGCTATGATCAGATGCTTTCTTTACTGTTTTCTCATCTCTGTCATTTTTGTTGTGTTAATTTTATTGAAAGGAAAGAGCGCATATTCATTACATATTCATATAAACGCTGCTCTCACTAGCGTGGGCGGCATCAGGATATTCGCTAACAGTATAGCCTGCTCTAAACTTTTTTTTTCTTACCTCAAAGCGAAGAACCGAAAATAACTTTTCTGTGAGTATATCGGGGTCTTAAGCTGACACTAAATTTGGTCACTAGACCATCTCTGGAGTTCACCACATGACAGAAGCCATATTAGAGCCACATAAAGTTGGAAACTGAATTAAAATAGCGAGTGTATCCTCAAGCGGCCTGGTCCCAAGAGCGGCTCGGCAGATGCAGTGCTGATGCGGAAGTCAAGACAGGGGCTATCATGGGGCCGTTTCTGAGAGGGGCCCCCAGAGGGGCCGAGCTCCCCTGCTTCTCAGTAGGAGCTAATGAATATGAACAGACAGAGGGCATATTGCCCAGTGTCTGTCTTGGCCTGTTTACCACAAAACTAATAGGACGCAGTTTTAAGGAAGAGGAACCCAAGGGAACCCATCTCCCTCCTGAGAGCGATTCAAGCACAACATATAGAAACTGAGAACTAAGGATGATATGAGTAAAAGAGGAATAAAGGTGAAAAATAAAATAAAACATACAGCCTTTATTTTTGAAGTTCTTTTCTGCTTCCTAATTATCACAAGCTTACGAAAGCCACGTTACAAAGGAAGTGAAAGCACAGACAAAATCAGGCAACAATTAGCCAACCGAGACCAATCAATGAAACAACAAATTAAAGGTCTTGTAAAAACATTGCCTGCAGCAAAACGCTTTCATTGTTCCAGAGGTGTGAATGACAGAAAGCCTGTTAACTGTGCATTACATTATAGCCTTTGCTCAATTTAAAGGGACAGTTCACCCGAAAATTACAATTGTCCCATCATTTATTCACCCTCATGTTGTTTCTAACTTGTACTTTTAGATTATTGTTAAGTTTAGATTATTTTGTGGAACAACAAAAAAAAAAAGAATCACCATGAGTATGATGAAAGCAGTCCTTTTGACACTATATTCCATGTCTTCTGAAGCCTTATGACTGACAGTTAAGTCAGGATGACAGGATTTTCATTTTTGTGGGTACTATTCCTTTAAAGTGCCTCTATTATGCTATTTTAAAGGTTCCTAATTTTGTTTTGAAGGTTTCCTACCATAGGTGTACATGCATTCAAGGTCAAAAACACTTTAATTTTCTTATAATATACATTGCAGCATGACCTCTTTTCTCACAGTGTCTGAAACGGTTCGATCAAGAATTCAGTCTCTCTAATGCCGAGTTCAGACTGCACGATTTTCAAAATAATTGGGTCACTGTTGTTTTCACACTGCATGACTATCTGGGGTAACATTCAGTTGCTGCTGTGTTCACACTGCACGATGGATCGGCGACAGGAGGTTTCACACTGCATGACTGTACAAAAGAAAGAATCGCTGACAACTTCTGCCTGGTCCGCAAACTACGTTTCACAACCAAACGCAAGAAGTGATAGGAAATAACGGAAGATCACGCGTGCGTGAGACCGGAGTTCTCGCGCGACACTGAATTTGTTATTAAAAATGATAGCCTACAAATTGTCTGTGCACTGATTTGTAGCGAAAATGAAAAAATAAATAAATAAACAGTTTATGCAGGAAATGGTTGGGAAGACGAGGGGAGCAAGGATTGTGTTTTGCAAAGAGAGTTGGGGGTAAATAAATAATTTTGCAAATGTCCTGCTGTTGCTGCTGGTCATGCAAATGTTTGTGCTTTGTTTCTGTTTGATATAATTGTAAATATAGGCCTATCTATTAAAATACTGATATTCTGGTCTATAACTCCTCCTCCTCCTCCCTGTATCTTGCTCTCTCATTGGCTGTCGGTCAACGCCGATGTAGTTTTCAGTCAGAACACATTCACACAGCAGGATTTAGCATGCCAAATATCTCACGGGCGTCGGCGACTCGTCGGCGATTCTCTCAGATCGCGTCTTTGCTCATTCACACTGCGTGATTGTCACTCGCGTGAACGAGCACCGATTTGCCTGTGATTTCGGGCATTTGCCGGCGATTTATCAAAACCTGTCGGCGAGCCAAAATCGGGGCTAAAATCGTGCAGTCTGAACAACTCGGCATAAACACCTGCTTTCAGAGAGATACTCTGTTCTGATTGGTCAGATGGACCAGTCTGTAGTGATTGGTCTACCGCTTACATCATGTGTCGTAAATGACTGAATTTCAGTTCTAGAGGCTTCCTTACTACACTTGTATATAGAGTAATGCGAACAGTTACGATGACGTCGATTGTTCACGGGCAGCCAATGAAGACAATAGGCTGGCATTATGCAAATTTTTTACAAACCGTAGGTTCGAGCAGGAAGTAAAACTGGAATTACTGACGACTTGTTTCAGGCCGGTCTGGATGGGTTCTTTCTTTTGGGAGACAATAACTCAATTTATCCTGCACTTTGATCTTTGAAATATGCAGTCCTTTTACACACAAACAGCTACATAACACACTATAGCCCCTTTCACACAGAGAATCCGGAAAATACACTGATAACGTGTCCCGGGATTTGTCCTAGGATCGTTTGCTTTTGTTTCATTCACAGTGATTTTATGGAATATGTGGGTGCGTTCAAACACATCCCGTAAATATCCAGTAAAGACTAAGTCGAGAAACCATTTTTTTTCTGATTTGATCATAAACTAGCGCATTGCGTACAGTTCCACTAAGCTGGCGAACGTTCTCACGGCATTGGTCCTGCCTTTTGGTCACACAGGGCACGTTCCAGGACTGATCTCAGCAATGTTACTAGGTTCCCAACCCGGGACGTGTTGGAGTTCACAGAAGGATCCCTAGAAATTTTATGGCAATTTTCTGGGATCAACGCAGTGTGTGAAAGGGGCTTATGTCAAAGGTAATAATATCCGAAAAAGCATAATCGGAGCACTTTAAAGTCATAAATATTGGATAAACGTTCATAATCATTAAAACGTTCACGATCATAAAAACAACAGAGAGAGAATAACAAATGGTAACTCACCTGGGGTGTGGATCCATCAAACCCTTCCTTACGGATGACCGTCTGGATGGCCTTCAGGAGAGCATGATAGGGTGATGGTAACGGACTGAGAGAACATGAGAGAAGAACAAAACTTTAGATGTTAGAGAGACCTAAAGCTAGTCAAAGTAACCACCCAAAAAACACTAGCATTCACCCAGAAAACCTATAGCTTCGTGGGGGCTGTTTACACCTGGCCACTTCATGCGTTTTCTCAGATCGGATAGCTATCTGATTTATCAAAACGATTCCATTTACACCTGGTCACATAAATGTGTTTTTGCCAAACGGATATAAATCCGATCTTCAATTCTCGCGCTATATGCAGATTTAATGGAGTGCACGTCACCGAAAGCAACAGATAGGAGCTGCATTTTATTGATCATCAGCTAATTTCAAAATCAAAGAGAGCAATAAGAGAGAGCGGCAACAGCCCTGGTAAGATCATTTCGTTTCTTTACTTTTAATGAAGATGATTGTGTGTTAAGCGTCTGCGACTTACTTTCACTTTGATTTGCGATAGTTTGCACGTTGGCTTGATGAAGAGATGCTCAGCTGCGGTAATGCGTGTTGCAGTAGCGTCATCATATCTGACTATAACATGACATATAGCCTATATAACACGCTCTCACACGTTTATTTTTTTGGCACTTTTGGGAGGAGTAAAATTTACATATGTGGTTTCAACAACCAGATGCATTTACACTTGTCCAGTTTCGTCTGGAATGCGGCCCAGACCACCTCCTGATGTGGTTTGAGCGATCGGATTTAAATCCGTCTCGAATGCGTTTCGGAGGGCATTTACACCTGGTCTTTTCACGATCGGATAGCTATCCGATCACAGAAAACGCATGAAGTGGCCAGGTGTAAACAGCCCCATGGAGACCTTGAAATAACTTGAATGCAATTTAGCAGATCAAATAATTATTATAAAAATCTCCATCATCAATGTGCACATTACCGTAAATACATGCATAATGTTACAAAACAGATTTTGACAGAAACATAAAGCAGTTTCCACAGAAATATAAAGCTTTTTTCAACAATGTTTTCAACATTGATTATAATAATAATAATAATAATAGATGTTTCTTGAGCTGCAAATCAGCATATTAGAATGATTTCTGAAGGATCATCTAACACTGAAGACTGGAGTAATGATGCTGAAAATTCAGCTTTCATCAATGTGTCAATAAATAACTTTTCTATTTGAATATATTTTAAAATTTAATTTTAAGTTGCAGTAATATTTCAGAATATTCAGAATAATTTACTGTATTTTGATCAAATAAATGCATAATAAATCAAATAAATTATGCTTTGTTAACCATAAGAGACTTATTTTAAAAACATTAAAACACATTACAGACCAAAAATGTTAGAAGGAAAGTGTAAGTGTAAAATGCAATCCCATTATCATGGAAAAGTTTAAAAGTTGCATGTGCAAGCAAAAGAGTGCTTCAATCTATCTGTCATTTTACTTATTTTCATGCAAGGGTTTATTTTCAGCAAATGTGAATGATTATGATTATGGCTTCAGGTCGAAAGTTGATGATACCTGATGTGTACACTTCAATTAAAACCACTCATGGCTGTGGCATATGCTGCCAACATAAAGCGGGATTTGCTTCGGTATCACAAAAGCCTGTTGACATCGGCAGTAACCCTGGCAACCAACATGTAGATGCAAGGAAATACATCACTAATTAAATCAAATGAAATGAAATTAATTAAACACTTTGGCACCTCCGTCAGCTCGGGGCGCTCCCCCTGAGGTCTGCGGTGAGTCTGAGTGTGCTGTGTTAACGGGACAGTGCTTCTGATCCCAGTGACACAGCGCTTCTATGTTAAATCAGGGGTAAGATGTGCAACTCCTAACAAGGAAGGTCAAAACAGTTGACCTGCTCTAAGTTGCACATTCTGCCATTACTTTTTAGACCCTTTAGTTACACTTTAAATTGCATGAATGAAAATGCATTAGATGTCACCAAACCATGTGGCATTTATTTGAAGGAAGGTTAGCATATTGGCACATCTTTCAAGCAAAACATGTTACAAAAATAAGTATATCAAGTAGGGCTGTCAAATGATTAATCGTGATTAATCACATCCAAAATAAAAGTTTTTTTTACATAATATAAGTGGGTGCACTGTGTATAATTATTTTATATATATAAATACACACACATGCTTGTATATATTTAAGAAATATTTTCATGTATATACTGTATATAGATTTATATATATTATATATAAATATAAATATTTTATATATAAATAATATTTTTTTCTGAAATATACATGCATGTGTGTGTATTTATATATATACAAAATAATTATACACAGTGCACCCACATATATTATGTAAAAAAAACTTTTATTTTGGATGTGATTAATCGTGATTAATCATTTGACAGCCCTAATATTAAGTTTAAAATTATTCAACAATAGACACACTACTGTTGAAAGTAAAGATTAGTAAAGTAGTAAAGTTTGGGGTCATTAAGATAAAAAAAAAAAAAAAAAATTAATACTTATTCAGTAAAGAGAAGACATTAACCATCACCAACCCCAAGCCTTTGAACAGTAGTGCATACTGTTCAAAATGAAGACAAACGTATTTGGACACTTGTTTGTTGACTAATGTTAATGTATTTTCTCTGTGTGAACTTACATACAGTACATAGGCTACTGTATGTATAATACATATACTGTATACACACACACACCTTTCATTCTGTCACTTCAGTCAATCATTTCAGGCTTTCCCTCTCATTCTGGCTCACGACATGTTGTAATGACCACACTGTGCCACTCTGCATGAAGCTATGATAGCCATCAATTACTCCGAGATTGAGAACTGGATCTAAAACAGCCACCTCCAGGCCCGTCACTGCCTTTCAGTTGGTTAAAAGGACTCACTCGAAAACAGCCTCTATTGCATAATGCCAACAAATGTCCACAGAAAGAGTCCTTCAGTTAAATAAATAAATAAATTTGCTTTTAAAAGCAAAAATGAAGCTCATTTTACATTTGATAAAAGCACTTGAATGAAATATTGTGAGTTATTTGCGCTGGAAAGATGTTTATCCTGATTTTAGAAGAGGGACTACCGTTCTAACAACTTCAAAATTGTGCATCTGTGAAATATCATGTGAAAGTTACAGGGTTTATCGGCTTTACATGGCTAAGATATGACTAGATATGCTGGGTTATTATAACTGCACAGAAAAAAAGCAGTTTTATGACAGTCTCATGCTAACTCCTTACGTTTAAGTCTCAAAGTTTCAAAACTATTTTCTGTGGTAATCAACACTGGGCCACAAATGCTGTTGATAGAATTGATGACAAACCTAAAACATCATGTTACGTGTTTAGTCTTCCATCCTCACACATACACTACAGTTCAAAAGTTTGGGTTTGGTAATATATTTTTTTATCTTTTTGAAATAAATCTATTATGCTCACTAAAGCTGCATTTTATTCATTAAAAATCCAATAAAAACCATATGTGAAATATTATTACAATTTAAAATAACTGTTCTCTATTTTAATATATTTTAACTTGTAATTTATTCCTGTGATGTCAAAGCTGAATTTTCAGCATCATTACTCCAGTCTTCAGTGTCACATGATCCTTCAGAAATCACTCTAATATGATGATTTGCTGCTCAAGAAACAATTCTTATTATTATCAATGCTTAAAACAGTTGTTCTGCTTAATATTTATCATGCTTATGACGGTTCAAAAGAATAGCATTTACTTTAGTCAATTTTGATCAATTTTATTTATTTTAAAAAAAATCTTACTGAACCCAAACTTTCGAACAATAGTGTACAATTTCACGCTCTGATCCCAACTGACTGATCTGCTCCTTAATGGGGTGAAACACGTGTTTCCCTCTTTTGATTAAGACCTGGAGATGTGGGGGTGGTGGTTATCAAAAGAAGACCCGTCCCCATTGTGTCTGAGACACAGAGACCGCAGCAGCCCAGCGGAGCGCGATCGCTTAAGGTGCCGTCCGTGGAGGATAAAGGCCGACAGGTGAGCTAATTAAGATCACAGTGATGTGAGCGCGAGGGGGACCAGAGGTAGCATCCGTCTTAAACAACAGGCTCCGCTTTCACCAGGAGAGCAATTTGTGCCAATTACGCCACGTAGTGAAACGGAGCGATTTAACAGTCTGGAAACGGCATGGGGCTTTTTATTCTATGAGCTGTGAAACACAGAAAGACAATGAGGGTTTTTTTTGTATCTCAAGACATTTAGTAGTCGTTTAAGCTTGCTGATTAATTGATTTCTCTGAAATGGATATGAAGCAGTTTTCGACATCAGTCCCAATTGGTGCTTTATAGCAAAATTACCAACATAGGCTTATTGCAAAATGTGCCTCTACCATCTTTTGCAGACAAACTCCAAAAACGTACCTATACATACAATTCACAACAGTTTCCTTCTGAAATAAACAGGCAGTAAAACAATGCTTATCCCTTTTCACACAAATTATGATTACAGGGGTAGATTATCGATCAATTAAGAATTTTCATGCAGTTCCTTGCACAATACAGTTATGACCAGGGCTTGACATTAACTTTTTTGCTCACCAGCCACTGTGGCTAGTGGTTTTCCAAAGTTGCTAGCCACTCAGTATTTTGACTGGCCCCAATTTTGACATCAATTGCATGGGGAAAAACTGCCATTTAGATATTTTTTTTATATATTATCTAATAATTTGGCAGCAGGTACTTTAGGCTGCTGTCACTTTAAGACCTGATGCATGGATCCATTATGCTATATGCATTTTCTTTCTCAACTCTGATTACATTCACTTAAAACATAACAGACTGTGTTTACGTGAATACTCACCAAGACCGGCATTTTCACATTATTTTGCGTGTACTTGACTGTTTAAGTAGCCTGGTTAAAACCAGACCATTCTCAGTTGTAACTGAGTTATGGTCTGGCAAAGCGTCATAGACAAATCATTTCCAGAGGGGCGTCACCAACGGACGTCGAGGATAGACCTAAAACCAATCACAGCGATGAAGGAGATAACGTATGCAGAG